AGAATATAATATAAAAATATGAATAGTTATATACAGTTCATAAACTGACACAAGCATTATTTACAAAGATAACGTACATCGATAAAGCAAATATGATTTGAATATTTTTATGACTTTATATAAGGACTTTCACACTTATTTAGGCGTACATCGTATATAGTCGATCATTGTATATTTTAATTATAATGTATTATAAAGAATTTAATTAACTCGATCAGTAAGTCATCATTGTTATTAATTTGATATTCACATTTTTCCCAACTCCCATATTTACAAAATAACAGTTTAATTGGCAGTTAATTGTTACGATTAGAAAATAAAACTTGTGAAAGTGAATGACGCTCAAAGAAAGGACAAAAAATTAGCATATCCATATTACCTGGAAACAGATGGTATAATCAATATACCCATTAAAACATGCCGAGCATGAAACAGACCTTGGAATTACCGTGAGCACCAACCAATTGATTTCGACAATCATATCCATGAAAAGGTGAACAAAGGAAATAGCATGATGGGCCTTATCAGAATTAAGAACATTTATCAAGGGCTATCCGGGAAGTCGGGGATTGTGAGCTTTTGCAAGATGACTTGTACAAAATGCAGAAATGGACGGACTGTTGGATGCTGTGTTTCCACCCCGACAAGTGCAAGCTAGTCATGCGAATAGGGAAAAGTAGACTAGACAAATTTAACTACAAGCTCAAGGAGGACGGAACAAACTTGAAGTACTCTGAAGAAGAAAAAGATATTGGTGTCACCATTGACAACAAACTATAGCTTTTGATAAACATATTACTGAAAAAGTTAACAAAGCTAACTCGATCATGGGGCTGATTAGGCGCACTATGGAATACATGGATGTGAAAACTTTTAAATTATATATACACTGGTCTTGTACGCCCTCACCTGGAGTACGCAAATCAGATATGGGCTCCCCATCTAGTGAAACACATAGAAGCAATCGAAAATGTTCAGATCGAGGCGTGCAACCATGCATGCAAGCAGATCCCTGGTATGGCAGATTTCTCCTATGATGATCGTCTCCGGCAACTCAGGCTCCCAACTCTAGCCCATAGGCGAGTGAGGGGTGACATGATTGAGATGTATAAAATACTGACCGGTAAATATGATCCTGAACTTAGTGTCGGACTTCATTACAACAGCAGGTGAATCGGTAACACGGGGACATGCATACAAAATCTACAAAACCAGAACGAGATTGAACATCAGGAAAATCGTGACATGGAAAATTGTCGAGACCTGACAGTAGAGGTTCTCTGAGGAGACCTAGAGTCAGAAGAAAATCTATGTAAATCTATGTAAATTTAGCTACATTGATGAGGAGAACTTTGTATTAGGCCTCTTATATAAGGCCTTTGTTCGACCACATCTAGAGTACGGGAATGCCGTCTGGAGACCTCATAAGATCGAACTGATTTCTGCATTAGAAAATGTACAGCGGAGGGCAACTAAATTAGTACCAGCTATTAAAAATCTACCTTACGAGGAGAGACTATAAAAAGGTTGCGCCTCCCGACCCTAGCTTATAGACGTCTCCGCGGCGATATATGATAGAAACCTACAAGATGTTCAACAGCTATGACCCAGATGCATGTCTCACTAGACCTACAACGTAGTCAACGTAGAGTCAGTACCCGGGAGTCAGTAGCACAAGAGGCCACACATATAAACTATATGTATGCATAGACCAAACAGAGACATAGGGAAATACTCATTTAGCAACCGCATATAGTACAACCATGGAATAGCTTAAGCGACAACACAGTGTGCTCACCTAACCTAAAAACATTCGAGGCTCGACTGGATCGTCAGTGGCAGAATGAGAGTCTTCACTACGACTACCGCGCTTCTCCACCGGGAGCACGTAGAAAGCAGGAGCCGATCGAAATACAGAGGCCTAGGCCTGAGTTCGGAAATATATCCTGAGGTATCCTGAGGTAAAACGAATAATATCAGGAGTCTATTGATAGACTCCTGATAATATACATACGCATAACAAAACGTAATAACTATATATAAGTATTGTCTTAATAACTGCATGAGCCTGCATACATGATCCAACTATAATCCATAATGATTATGATTATGATTATCATGATTATGATTATTATGATTATGATTATATGATTATGATTATGATTATGGTGATGATTATGATTATGATTATGATTATGATTATGATTATGATTATGATTATTCCATGATCCTATGATACATAATCAAATATTTGCTCAAATTTGCTATAAAATATGGATGCTAAACAAATCATATTGATGAGATTATACGAGTGATTATATGAGTGTTTATACAGTATATATATAGTATATCAGGAGCTATAATAATGACAAATTTGTCATTATTAGCTCCTGAGTATATATATATATATATATATATATATATGTATTATATAGTCATATAAAATATATATGAAAAGCATGAAAAAATTGAAGTGCAGAAAATGGGAAAATGCGAGTTAAAACGGTTTATATTAATTGGCTTATTAACAAAAATTTAATGGAAAAAAGATTGAAACGGAAGCTATTCTAAACAAAAAAAAATAAAGATACCATAGGAATTAATGCATGTAATTAAGTAAAACAACGTTAAAAATCAACGAAATTGATGATGAACTGAAACCCCAATGCCAGAATTAACGCCAGCTAGGGGACTTTTTTTGTGCTGAAACGCAAGATACGTATACGTGACCAGCGTGATTTGCGCGATGAAGGGCAATACGGGGGCAATACAACAAGAAAACCAATATGAACCACGGCACCTAAAGTGGACCAATTACTAATAAGAGGGAATCAATTGAATATTGGAAATACGATGATCCCGGGATAGTAAAATGTGCATTTGATTACGTGAAATCACTGCTGGAACACATTGAAACTGACAAAGGTAGAAGCGATCAATGAATATAGCCATATGCTAGAGTATGCAAACCCCAGGCGCACTAACAAAGCAATGTCAACCACAGCGTGCATGGATATGATCACAACTTGACACACACCTTCAAATAACCAATACGCGGAATACCAATAAGTATAACCAGATAAATTTCTAGTGTACTATACCTGTGTATTGTACTACCTCGTAAATGAATACTGGTGTGCGTTTTTATTTCGGCAATTATTATTTGTGATTTCACAACATACAACACTCAGAGGACTATATGTACGAAAACATGTGTCTATAATATATACATAAAACACTGATGTTCGTACATTACATTACTACATAGTAACGTCAGGAGTCCTGGTAACGTTACATAGCTCTATTCACTAAATGCGCGTACGGAATCGACTGAGGTCTGCCCAAAGATCCGGTGCCTCCGATCTTTGGGTCTGCCCTGAGAACAATATATACGATACAATCAGGAGTAAGATAATATAGATCTATATTATCTTACTCCTGATACAATGTATATATCAAAGATCGTAGAGTGCCGTAGGCACAAGATAAACCACTCTCCAATCATAGCGTAGTAGGTCATGGGTCGCCACAACCGCCATTTTAGGAAGCAAGTTCACACGAAGTTCCCGGATGCTGCTGTATCTGCTACTGTGCAACTGTCTGCTGTGTGCTGTCAGCTCAGCTTACTGTTCTGCTGTAAATTGCTCGAATTGTCAGTATAAGCCCGACCTGTCTTTCTTCAGGTTCCCCAAGAATACAGAAAGGTGAGAAAACCTTCTTTTTTGTCGAAATCCATCGTTAAAGAGTTGTGCAATCTTTGTTGATACATATAGTACCAGTGGCAGTGTTTTTTGTGCACAGGGCGTACGTGCGGTGTACTTCACTACTTGTGTGTTGCAGATGAGCATTTAAACGGCATTTACAGCAAGTTATCGACAATAATAGGCGAAATAGAGTAGAGAAACATTAATACTTTGATAGTAGATACATTTAGTGTTTAATTACCATTATTTGTTTGAGACGGTCCAATGAAGTGCCTGTGCACTGTACCACTGTCCGACACTACACCACTGCACTGTGTACATATACTACATAGTAACATCCGATTATGAATCATTGTTAGATTTTTGTACACTTGAATGAGAGATTTGATACAGCTATTGGCATAAAAATATTATCTATTACATTATATTAATAATATATATATATATATATACTGTATTAACCAATGTATCTCATATTAATTTCTATGTATCAAACAGACGATCGGAGCTGTGTTTTGGCTTTCTAAAATGCGACGTGGCGCTCCCAACCCCATCTAGGGATGTCCTATATTCAGGCCGGAATACGGAGATTACGGTACGCAATATATGTGCTAATATATTGACTTAATCGCGCGTCAAATAAACTTCAATATTCACAGAAGAGTATAGCTAAGACATGTGTCTATAGGTATCTAGAATATATTATGCAAATGATCTCGCCGTACCGGCTTGAATTCCTATATCTCTGTGAATATTGAGTTATTGACGACACGGATTAGTCAATATAGGGGCAAATATATGCGCGCGGAGTGAATTAGCAGATGATTAAATTTCTTACAAATTCTAGATACCTATAGACACATGTGCTTAGTATACTCTCTGTGAATATTGAGTTTATTGACGGACGATAAAGTCAATATATTAGCAAATATATGCGTACCGTAATCTCGCCCCGGTACCGGCCTGAATATAGACATTTCCAACCCCTCATCACAGAGATGAAAATTGCTCTCTTGTTTGTTGTGGCGGCGCAATCTATGAGCCGATAGTCAACGGTGATCTCTGCACGTGATTTCGCATGAGTGGTTTATCTTGGGCACTCTACGATCTTTGGTATATATATTGTTCTCAGGGTCTGCCCACAGAAATAGAATAGAATCAGAATAGAATAGAATAGAATCTTCTATTCTATTTCTGTGGGTCTGCCTAGCCGAGTTTTCTACCTGACACGGTGCTGCCCCCTTTTGGAATTTATATATGCGACTGACTTTTTCACGCTTTCGCGAATATACAAGTTACAACCGTAACCGTACCGTGGACAATGGAAAGCCAAATTGTGGAGTTGAAACTTAATCGCTCTCTGCTCGATCCACATTTTGATGGATATAAGCTCTCACTGGATCAGCTGCCGGTGTATAACATTGAAAATCCTGATGGTATGTACGGCCAGCCTAGGCCGGTAAACATAGCCACACAAAGTGGCACTGACTGCTGTCTAGTGTCTTGCTTGTTACCGTTCGTACCATTCCGACTCGTACAGTTACAGTAGTTCCTAAATACAAACACGTGCTTACACTTGCTCAATCCTAGTTTGGGACCCCGGTATATATAGTTAACATATATGCTAAACTAATCCGGGGTGCTAAACTAGGATTTGGCCCTTACACTTGTCACTTGAGTCTTGACAGTCCATTTCAGATACGCTGTAGATCATACAGTCGCAGAGGCCGGTCGGGCATAGATACAATAATGATGTAATCCAACAAGAGTAGGGGGTTGGGTTACATTATTGTATCTAGGTCGGGCAGTGCCTGTGACGTACTGTGGCTGTGGCAGTGACGACGAGGGCTAGTATATTAGATTTACTAATACTAGAGCTGAGAGGGTCTATGTCCCCCGGGTTACCGCCGGAACGTACCCTGGTACTATCTAATGTGCCGGACCGTACCTCGCCTACACTAACGACTCTAGGGAGTCGCCTACGCCTACTCCCTAACCCTAACCCTAACCCCATGCAACCCTAACCCTAACCCTAACCATATCAAATAGTGACCAGGGTACGTTCCGGCAGTACCCTGGGTGACATAGACCCTATGAGCAATACTAGAGCTACGTCGCAGGTAGACCTGGCTGACCAGACTCCGACTGTTTCACGTCGTATATGACTGCGTTGTCATAGGAAGCCACGTAGTAAGAAGCGAGACGGTAACGCTAGGCATGCAGTCATATCTCGTATGTGTATTGACGTCAGGCTCGCAGCCTGGTCAGGCTATGTCTGCCGTGTAGCCCTTTTGCTTGCTCCTGTAGTGGGAGCGAAGGGGGTACATGGGTGGAGCTACTTATCGGGATCAGCCCACCTGTGTATCCCTTCGCTAAGCAATCAGAAACTGAATTCTTTCAAAGTGAAGCTCCCCTCCCAGCTATAGCTACGTCCCTGACCATCATTAGATACAACAGTGTAACTCGGCACAAGTAGTAGAGCAACGGTCTCTACTCATGTGTTGGGCTACATTATTGTATCTATGCCAACCTCTACCGCATTAATTGGCCAGTTGTTGAGCAGATTAAATGTCTGGTCAAATTTGCAAAACCAGGATAAACAGAAGCAAACACCTCAGCATTTAGAGGTCTTAAAACTTTGAACGATCCTCTAGCGGTTACCTTGCAAATTGAACCCAGTATTATGTAAACCTGGAACACCAATAATGAAATTCTAAAAACACAATCAAAGTACATGCTCATCTTCCTGTCCTCGTCACATTGCTCTGCTGACCAGTGAGAAAGTAAGCATTTAAGCCTGTTAGGTTTCACTCTTGGTTACGTATCGCCACGGACCCTCGGCCTGTCTCTCTCCCTCTCCCCCTCTTTCTTGATATTTCTGTATCCCTTTGGCTTGCTCGCACTGGTAATTAATTTCAAAAACAGTATATTATTATGTTAACTGTATAGTATTGTAATAATGATTTTCTGACTTGTGTCACAATACAGGTGTGTGCTTGACATCTATACAGGACAACCAGTACTCCTTCCAACAGGTAAAGCTGTTTAGTCGCCATAACAACCTCCACGCGGATCGTTACTATGACAACGTGGTGTACTTTGTCAATGACAAGCTGGATATTGAGCAGCTAGTGGTGAAGAAGGTACGAATACAGTCATTGAGGTGATCAATATAAAAGTTTACGTGACATTATATCGTAACAGGCTTTTTTTTAGCTCATCTGACATAGTCAGATGCAGCTTGTAGAATCGCATGAGCGTGCGTCCGTCGGAACACGGACCGCTCCTCGCAGCGAACAATTCCTACCCGGCTGCCTTGAACTTGTCAAGAACTGAAAGCTAAAACACGTTCCCGTCGCTGCCGCTCAAAGAAAAAGCCACAAATGTCTCAAGAAAAAAAAAATGTCTAAAAATGCTGCCCTGTGCCCCTGTTGACCTTTGACCTGTGACCTCCACAAATTTCGGCACAGTGATGAGCCTTTTTCCTACCATGATGCTCAACCAACCACTATGCACGACGCTAGTGCGACCGTTTAGATTTCTGCCCCGGCAAGTTCTGCATTTCCTGCCTATCCCTAAGTTAAGGGAGCTGAATGTTCACCTCCTTCTTTATAGCAACTCTTGACCTTTGACCTTTTGACGCCCCCAGCTTCCGGAACATCCCAACTTGTTTTTCGGATTACCCCCCCTGTCCCGACTTTCGAAATCCGTCGACGTCGAGCCGTTTAGATTTGTGGCCGCAAGCTGTTGACGGACGC